AAAAAAAAAAACTTTAAAAATCATGTGTGTGCTTGTATGACTGTGTGGGGGTATGTGCATGTGAGTTAGTGCTCATAGATGGCTGAAGAGGGTGCTAGATTCTCTGAATCTGGGGTTCTAGGCAATTGTGAGTTCCCTGATCAAGGTGCTAGGAACAGAATTTAGGTCCTCTGCACGAGCAGTGCTCTCTTGACCACTGAGCATCTCCCCAATCCTATTTACTTGTTTTTAGTGGTTTAGCACAAAATGATTCCATATTGATCATCGCAACTTGTACATTTTTTTCACACATTTGTTTGTTACTTGTCTATGCTCTTTTTAAGCACCACATTCCCTGTTTCTTCCTTTCTCCCCTTGATTTCTTCAATACCAGTTAATGTTTTCTATTTTCCATCTTATTTTCTGCTGTCTTGACATGTTAAACATCTTTTACTACTTTTTCTTTTTTGATAATTATCCCAGCTGGAAACATGCCTGCTAAATTTAAAGAGTCATTTAAATGACTGTTACGAATCCTTTGAAAATAGTTACATCCAGAACAGCAGACCACAGAGACTCCATGCATTTTCTGTCCTTGGCATTAATGTTGCCACGTACTTTAATTCTACACGTATTTTGAGCTCGGCCACACATGGCTGTTTGGTATCGTTGGCATTCATTGGTTGTGCTCTATGGATAGAATTGCTTTCATCTCTCTCTAACTTCAGGTTTCCCTAAGGGGTCGTTTTCCTTCTGTCAAAAGAGTTCCCCTTAGAATTTTCTTTAGAAGAAATCAGCTACAGGCTTTGTGTATATGAAAATGATTTATTTCATGTCTGTGTTTGAAAGATACTTTCATTTGACACAGCCCTCCAGATTGGCAGTTTCCTTCCTCCAGGTGTTATTCTATTTTCTTCTGCTTTCCATCATTTCTGGTGCAAAGTCTCTTTTCCGGCTCACTGTTATTGTTACATCCTTAAAGATAGAGTAATATGTGTCCCCCGCCTCTGGCTGCCCTCAAGGTTTATCTCTGTGGTTATTTGCATAGGAAATAATCTGTGTGGGCTGCATAGGAACACTTTCCCTTGGATTTATTTTGCATTGACTATTTGGGGTTTAGGCTTGAAGTCTTTGATCATCATTCTAATGACTTCCCTCCCTCATGATCCTGGCTTTTGCTGATACTTCAGTTACGTGTGTCCTAGATCTCTCCGCTCTGCCTCCCCACTCTTCTCTCTGTTGTCCTCCTTCATCTGTGTTCTTGGTAACTTTTCTCTGTGTTACCTTCCATTTTGCTATTTTTATTTCTTGCTGTGCCTAGTTTCTGGTTAGCTCATACAGTGAATTCCTAATATTATTACATTGTTTAATGTGAGACTTTTCATTTTAAAGATCCATTTGTGCACTGCAATGATCCACCTTGACTTCTGTTTTTTCCCTACCTTTTATTTTTCTGACATTTCATCATTTTATTTTTTCTAGTTAAAAAAATGTTTTATTTTTATTTGTGTGACTGCTTGTGTGTTTCTCTCTGCGTGTAAACACATGCATATGGTACCCACAGTGGCCAAAAGAAGGTGTTGGATTCCCTGGAGCCTGTGGTAAGCTTCCATGTAGGTGCTGGGAACCAAACTCAGGTCCTCTGCTATAATAGTAGCGGCACTCTTGACCACTGAGCCATCTCCCCAGCACCCACGGTTTCTCTAATTTTGATGTTCCCATCAACTGACTACAGGAAATCTCCTGTGCTCTGGGTCATTCATTGTCTTCTTTTCCTCTTTGGTTTGGCCATGGGAACCAACTTTTGCTGAGGTTAATGAGTTCTGTTTGAAGGTTGGACTACACATATGTAAAACTCTGGAAGCTCCAGACTATGTGTCTTCCTGAGGTGGCTCATCCCATCTCCTGGGTTGAGCCTCTTGGTCTTGTCAGACACTGTGCTTGGGCATCACTGTACTATAAGCCTGGTCACGTCTGTTGCTGTGGTAAAAATACCCCAACAAAAGGCAGCTTTGGGAGAAAAGGTTTGTCTTTCAATTCTAGGTCACAGTCTTATCATTTCTGAGAAGTTAAGGTAGGCATAGCCACAGTCAAGAGCAAAGAGAGAATAAATGGACCCTGTCTGCTGTTAGCTAGTTTGTTTTCTCTAATACTGTTCAGGAGCCCCTGCCTGGGGAATGATGCCATCCACAATGGGCTATGTCTTCTCACACCAGCTAATCCAGGTAGCCCTCCATAGACATGCCCACAGGCCAACTTGAGATAATTTCTCATTAAAACCATCTTTCCTGATGAGCCTAGGTTGACTTTTAAAACTAACAAAAGCCCGCATTTTAGACTTGGTCCGTCTGAGTACTTGGTTTCATGAGAGCTTATGGTGGGCTGTGTGCCTTGTAGACCTGGTGAGCTGCAGTCTGCATTTCATTTTCCAAGGTTCTCCAGTGTTCCCACTCTAGAATCTGCTGTGTTGGGCTGGAGAGATGGCTTGGTGGTTAAGAGCACTGGCTGCTCTCCCAGGCTACCCAGGTTCAGTTCCCAGCACATATATCACAGCTTCATAACTGTCTATAACTCCGGTTCCAGGGGCTCCAAAACCCTCACACAGACAAATGTGCACGTAAAATAAAAATAAATAAATAAAATATATTTTCTAAAACAGAATCTGCTGTATCTTTTTTTTTTTTTTTTTAAATCTTTTATCTGTTGTGTTATTGAAAGTCCCATTCCTTGATGTTTGAAACCCAAGTTATTTCTTCTGTAGACTGGTACCAGTTCCACTTGGCTTTCTAGAAGTTTTCATTTTAGTGTTTAGTCTCACACACCATGCAGCTCCGGGAGCTGGCAAATGTCCTGGGGTGACAGAAAATTATAACTTATTTACAGTAAATGGCATATATAAGCTTTCACGGGACCAGCGTCCAAACTGCTTGTTGTTCATTTAAAGCAGAGCTGAAGTTCTTGACAGTTTCCTGGTTCCCATTGCCTTTTAAGTGAATGCACTGCTGTAGTGCCATTACTGAATTTCCCATTATAATGTCATTTTCAAATGGTTATAAGATCCCGTTACGTTTGGACAATTAAGTCTCCTTATGTTCGTTCTATAGCATCATGACACCTCCCAGGTATGTGCAGCACCACCCGCCATTGTTTCCTTACCACCTGTGAGCAGAAGTTCATGACTCTATAATCTTAATTGTTCAGTACATCATTTAAGCAAACCTCTATTTGGAAACCTTTATTTACAAAACAGGTGCACTTGGTTGCAATTTCCCACTTTATACAGAATTCCTTGCTTTAGAATGGAACTCATTTAAATGTAAGATTACCTCTGGGGTAATTAATTATCACTGAGTTTATGAAATTTTCCATTGTGTACAAGTTTCAGGTGGGGTATATTTTTAATTAGGCAGGAAACTAGTTTACATTAATAAAACATCTGAGTTGCTACATTTTAAAATGTAAATGCAACTTGCAGTAACTGCTAATAAATAATTTATAGATGGGACTTATTTATGATGAGCAGCATATATCAGCATCCATGGAAGCAGCATACAAGAGCCTTATTGTCCATTTAAGGTAGAGCTGAAGATCTTGACAGCTTTCTGGGCCTTGTTGCCTCTTAAATGGATGCACAGGTGTAGTGCCATTTCTCAAAATTATTTTGAATTTACCCATATAATGTCATTTTTTCAAATAGTTATAAGAGCCTGTCACATTTAGACAATTAACTCTCCTTATGTTAGTTACATAACATTAGGAGTTAGGAATATTGGCAAGAAGCTTAAAGATACAGCTCTTACTATAGCGCACTTGTCTGGAATGCATCAGGCCTGGGCTCCATCCATAGTCCATAAAATCAGATAACAAATAATTGAAAGTGGGTACAAAACATGTCAAGTGAGAATATGGGTTTTTTTTTGCGGGGGGGGGGAGATTAAAGCTAAATTGGTCCATCCTATTCCCCCCTTTTCTTCCTTCTGTCTCCTTTCCAGACTTCCCTTTGTATATATCATACTTTTTCTGTTTCTAAACTGTGCCAGCAATATGTATTGTAAGTCCACCACTCTGATGCATGCCTCAATAGTTGTGTATCGAATCCCATTTCCCTTTTGATGGATGCTGGAGATGGTACCTCATACTCCCATCAACTCCCTTAGTTACTGTGGGTGCAGGGTGCACAGCGGGAGCTTCTCCGCGGGTCCCCACAGTGTCGTGTGTTTCTTGCAGGCTGTATGAAAACAAAGGAGAGGCCGACTTCGTGGAGTCCTTGTTGCAGCTGTTCCGGTCCATCAACGATATGATGAGCAGCATCTCAGAGCTCACAGTCAGGGTGAAGGTAGGTCCCATCACGTTCAGGCAGCTCCCTCCTGGGCTGAGAGCCCCTGAGTCATGAGTGTGATCTTGGTCTATGTACAGTGAGTTCTCATCTCCTTCCTCCCTAGGTGGCTGAACTATTGCTTATCTCTTGGCTCTATTCCAAAGAAGTTCTGAATCTACTTTATATAGATAAGGGAAGTTTATTAAAGTCAGTTTAACAGTAAACCTGTCAGGGCATCTGGCGCCAGAGACTCTGGGAGGGATGCTGAGCTGGATGGAGCTTTAGTCAGGCTTCAGGCTGTGAAGAAGGGATGATTACATTGTTCCTTTGCTCCTTCTCTTTACCCATTTCTTTTGTATATGTCTGTATATGTCTAGATGCATGTGTAAGGTGTGTGTGTGTATGTTAAGGCCAGAATTTGATCTTGGTTGTCATTCCACAAGTATTGTCCACCTTGTTTGTTTTAGATGAGGTTTCACTGGCTGGCCTGGAATTCACTATGTGGACCAAGCTGTCCTAGAACTCACAGAGACCTACCTGCCTTTGTCTCCCAAGTGTTGGGATTAAAGGCATGCACCATCATGTCCAGCCCACTTTCTGTTTTCAAGACAGGGTCTATCACTGAACCTGGAGCTTGATAATTAGGCTCTCCTGACTGATTAGTTAGCTTCCGGGATTTTCTGAGATGTTAAATGTGCATCACCGTGCCTGGCATTATATATGCACGTTCCCAGGAACTTAGCTCTTCATGCCTTGTATGTCTACAAGGGCCTCTAATGGCTGAGCCATCTTGCTTGCCCCCCCCCCCGCCCCGTCCCCCCGGTTTTATTTTTGTTTTTGTTTATAAAATGAGTTCTGTGGGATTGAATTCAGGTCTTAGTGCTCGCAAGGCAAGCACTCGAGTGGCCGAGCAGCCATCTTCCCAGCCCTTCTTCAAACATTTATGGCCACCTCTTGCTCTGTTGTCCTTGGGAAGAAGGCTTAGGACTCCTCTAGGACTTCCTGGCATGGAGTCATCCCAGAGACCGGGTGTGGAGAGGCCCTGGGGAGCAGTCCCTGGCTCCGGCACCCTTGGGCATCTCTGTTATGTAGACTTTTACGGGCTGATTTATGACCAAGCCAGCTGTGTACTTTGGAGCTTCCTGCCTGCAACACTTGCAGCGAGGACCAAAAGCAAACCTTCCAAGTGAGTCCTTGTGGCTTCACTCTCCACGCCGAAGCTGCATCTCTCCTTCCTTTGTGTTCTTTTGGTGGGTAAATTCAAACGAGTTCTTTGTCATGACCGTGTTGAAAGTGTTTTGGACGAGTCCTCTCCCAGCTGTAAAGCTCTGCCGTGCTGCTCTGTGACGAGGCTATGTGTGTTCAGAAGTGGTTCCTGTCACAGTGACCAAGGTGACTCTCCTGGGCAAGCAAGAGTAAAGCTGTGGCTTCCCTGCTGCCTCCAAGGTGGTTCCTGGCCAAGCCTTGAGATCCCTTGTCCAATTTTGACGTGAATCTTCCCCCAAATTGGTGATCTATGAAGAAAGCCATGTCCTACATAGATTAAAAGTTTTAGGTTGGTAGTTTTTGACAGTGTGATATTGCCCAAGGCCGCCTTAGCCTTCCAGGGTTAAAATGAACTTCCCACCAGTATGTTTTACTGAGGAATGCAGTGGCATGGGAGGGAAACAGACACACATTGTACAAGAATAGATAAAAACAGTTCCAGGAAGTTTCGAGACCAGAAGTAATTTTAGTTGGCTAAATATATTCTTACATGATTAAGTTTGATTAGGCTTGACTGGTGTCTGCCTGCCTCCTGGAAGTCAAGGCATTTGTCAGTAGAAGCTGGAAAGCCTTCCCTCCGGTGGGTGTTGTATTGTAAAACACGGATGAATTCAGTGACGCTCAGGCTTGCTGCAGGCCTTCCGTCCGCGGGTTGGAAGACGAGTTTCTTCCTTTACTGTTCCTTTGGCATTGTATGATCTCCCCACATCTGCCCTTTCAGCATTGCTGAATTTAAGGGGTCCTTGGACTTGAGTCCTGGCTCATACACTATTTTTACTCTTTTTTGCCACGTTGAAATGGAAATAGAGTCGTGCAGTGTCTTAGGTTGAGAAAGTGTTTCTCTTACTGGGGCATTTCCTAGGATTAAATATTGTTGCTCCGAGCGCTGCTTTGATTTGCTGGTGCCGGGGTGCAGGTCCTGTCATGTTCTCATGGTCCCTATGCCTCCAAGTGTGTGCATGTAAATGCTGCGTGGGTATGTGTCTGTATGTAGTTTACTGATGTATGTGTGCATCTGTGTGGGGTGTGAGCGTTGTGTATGTGTGTGTTTGAATGCACGTGTGAATATATGTGAGTAAGCATGTACGTTTGTGCTGTATGCGTGTGTGGATTGCAGTTCATGTTTCTTTGTTTCTCTGTGCCCATTCATTTGCGGTGCCTTTGTTGTATATATGAGGCCGAAAATGGCTCATGAAAGAATGTCAGCCCTTATTCCACATGAAGCCCTCAGGCGTTTTCTATTCTCTTTTAGTCTCCTTTAGTCTGTTCTAGACTATTGTTTTTCAGTAGTAAAATTGCTCGCTGGGAGGCTATGGGTTTCAGCCAGGGCTAAGGGTTCTCAGTCCGCATCTGCAAGCAGTGCTCTGTACTGTTCTTTGGGGCTCCTTCCCATCTTCCCTGTACAGAACGGGATGAATATGTTATCATTGTTCTCTGCACTTTCTCCACTGTCTGGTGGAGCCGCAGGCCCCTCCCACTTGGGCCTGTGGCTGGGACTGGAGTGAAGACTAATTGAATTTGAGGCTCCTGCATTGAGAATGACACAGAGGCATGTGAGAGTCTGTCTCCTTCCAGGGACTACCCTTAGGGGGAAGCCCTCCTATGTGTCCCCTTTGTCACCCTCTCCTGGTGTGACTTCCATCTGGCCTTCCTAAAAGGAGCAGTGTTGGAATGGTGCCATTCTGTAATCAGCTGAATTGGAGTGGATGGGTGGGTTTTGCCCTCCAAGAGGCCTGATTATAATGTCCTGAAAATAATCATCTTTGCCTTGTGTCTTATGGCAAATTCTTCTGCAAGGGAAAGTTTTACTGCTTTTTATTTATCTGCTTCTAAGCTGGCGTCTTGGGTCTGTCCTGCTTCTCACAAATTTCGAAGTTGGCCGTTTTATTTTCTCCAGAAGAAGCTCTGAATGTGTGAGCGGCGATGACAACTGACGGTCTGAAGTGATAGCTTCCACAGATGAGAAGTCAGGCTTCGCCGAGCTTTGACCCGCGCACTGCTTCATCCGTGATGACAGCAGTGCCCATTCGCACCTTCCCTCCAAGGCTCCTTCATTTTCCTCCCTAGGTTCAAGTCCCTAAGACACAGGAGGCCCACTCATCACCTCAGCTCTCACAGCGGCCGCTGTGAGCACTCCATCTCGCAGTCATGTGGTTTTTCCCCTGCATGTGGAGTGATCCCACACAGACACAGATCTGGATGATGAGCCCCATGTCTGCAGAGTGTTCTTCCTCAGTGTACATGGGACATTGCTTCCAGGACTCAACAGAGTCAGATGGAGACCTGATTTATGCTCAAATCTCTTAGAAAAATGAAGTAGCATTTGCAAATAACCTTTGTTCATCCTTCTCTATAGTTTATTTTTTATTATTAACTTAATTTTTTAAGAAGAGGAAAGATTTCTTTTGCCTCACTGAGAGTGCTCAGTTTACATCAAATCTTCTCTGTTTGCATAGCTTATGTTACCTAATTCAGTATAAATGCCATGTAAATAGTAGTCCTGAATAGGGAATGATGAGAAAAAAAAAACTGTATATTTTTGGTTCACTTTTTATCACATCTGATTTTGGTCAGTTCTTGGTTAAAACGCATTGATTCAGAACTTAAAAGTGGCAGGGCTGACAACATGTAACATATATGCTATATATTTCTTTTTACAGGTAGACTGCTGGAACTTTAATAACTTCAGCATAGATTTGCAATATAACCAATAATTTCTCTCTCTCTCATGTGTGCACGTGCGTGCATGCACATGCATACACACATGCACTTGTGAAGAGTACAGAAGCATAGTGTTCCCTTGGAGCTAGAGTTTCAGGCAGTTGTGTGAGCCACCTGACTTGAGCTCTGGGAACCAATCTTGAGTCCTCTGCAGAATCAGTATGCATCCTTAACCACTGAGCCATCTATCTCTTTAGCCTGACCCACCAGTGTTTTTCACCAGCACATTGTTCTCACCTGCTGATTGTACTGTAGCTCATTTAATCCACTTCCTCTTTCAGAATACCGAGGTGGTTTCCCCTTTTCATTTTCATAAGCTACTCTGGCGGAGCTTGGCTGGCCATCTCTAGTCCTGGCAGAAGCCTTGTTACCTCTGGTCCACCCTGAGGCCTTCCGTGTCCAAACGTCTCACATTTCTCTCCTGTAACTGCCCCTTGTGCTCCCAGGGCTTGCCTCTCACGTGAGACGTCTGTGCTTTCTCTCCGCCCGGTGCTGTTAACTAAGATGTTTGTGACTTGGTTTCCTGTGAGACTCGTCTTGTGCTTGCTTCCACTTCATTCTCAGAGGCATCACATCGGGAGGGATCTGTTTAGTCTCTGAGCACCTACTTTTGTCTCCTGCGTGCCTCTGGTTATTGGCCGTGTTGGGGAGGATAAGAGCGCTGTGCTTAGGATGTTAGCCAGGGAGGGACCGGACCATGGTAGACCAGCAAGCAGCTTAAGAAAGTCATGTTTTGAGTCTTGACCAAAGCAAACAACATCCTCTTTTCTTCCTTTCCTTTCCTTTGGGGTTGCTCAGCTGCATGGCCATAGGTAGTGAAGGGTGGCCATGGACAGGATACAGGGTTTACGCGCAGATTTCTCCTATTTCCCAGGCATGGGATGTGATGTTCCTCATGGGGACTTTGCAGGCCATGTCACTGCATAAGGAAAAAGACTTACAGAGGAACAGCTGAGTCTGGCAGCCCAGGAGCAGCCAACCGTGACAGGAATGGCTACACTTGGTTGAGAAACAGCCACAGGCCAGGCCTTCTAGAGAGTAGTGTTGACAAGATGCCAGAGTCCAGAAGGTGAAAGACCTAGTTAACATGGAAGTTGTATTAATTTTCTGAGATCACACAAAGATACTTCTTCAAATGCAGTGACTTGAAACAGTATCAATTCATTCTCTCATGGGCCTGTGGATTGGAAGCCTGGCATCAAAGCACCAGCAGGTGGATTCCTTCTGTGTAGTCTGGGACAGAATCTGGCAGTCCTCAGCCACCCTTGCCCCATAGACACATCCATCTGGCTCTAGTCTGCATCTTCTCATGGGGGTTCTGCCTGTGAGTGTGCACCTTGTGTCCTTTCTCCTCTTCAGTCATGTGGAACCAGTGCCCCCTCTCCGGATGCCTGACTCCATGCCAACTTCATGTTATTAGACAAGACACTGTTTCCAAGTCAGATTGCACTCACAAGTACTTTGGGCTTGCATGTATCCTTTTGATGCAATCGACTCAATCCACAGCGACAGTCAGCATGAGTGGCAGTTGGCATGAGTGGGAAAACAATGGAGAGACTGTGGCTTTGGGCTAGGTACCTGTCGTTAGCCTGACACATGACTTGTGGAGCAGAACCTTCTCAGATTAGTGTGGACACAAGAGGCCATGTGAACACAGATTCCGGTTCTAAGTCTGAGGGAGATCCGGCCCAGCTCTCAGGTGACCCTGATGTCTCTGGACCTTGCCTGCTCTGTAAGTTGGAAGAAGCCAGGCTAATGCTGCATTCCAGTGGCGGGGGGCACTAGTAGGGGGAGTGCTGGGGTCTGGGCTGGTACAG